ATCTCATCCACTGCGCATAAAAGACAGCAATATGCGCTGAAACCTAACTGTAATATTTCAGCAGTTTATAAGGAGAGAGGAGAGGGAAAAAGAGCCAGAGGCAGCAACTGGGGAAAACAGACACCACCAAGATTTTGCCTTCTCCCTCTCTCTATCTCTCCTTTTCTTTCTGTCTGTCTCCCCATCTGTCTCTCGCCCTGACTCTCCCACCCACCCACCCCTCCCCTCCCCTCCCCTCAGTATTACTGCATCATTTCCAACAGTAATGAGTGCACCAGGAGCAGGGAGAGAGCAAGGGAGAGGGGAGGTACTTCAGGGAATTAGAGTGTTTAAAATATACACAACGGTTTTCCTCTTGTGGATGATCAGTGCAAATAGTCCCCACCCCACCCCCACCACCCCACCCCTCTTCTGCACATACACCCAGTACATTCTGGAGGTACTGAGTCATCACACACCTGCACACTGTGTGCTTTCTGATCACTGACATTATTAGAACATTATTGACAAATACAAAGGAGCTCCTTTTTTGCATCACTATCGAGGAGCCTTAAGGATTTGTTCCTTTGTCTTGTGCATTACCTGATTGTTCGGTATACACTCATTACTGCTGCTGCTTCGCTCTCAGTGGCACCCCAGGACATAGAAAATACATTACCTAGCAGTGCTTAAGTGTATGAGACATTAACTAAAGCTTTTGCCAGAAGATAGTATGGAGGCAATTTCCTGCGTGAAATTGGTTTCCTTTTTCTTGTGTGAGGAAAGTGTATTCCCAGGCGGTAAAGTGGCTGAGAAAAAGCATCAAGACAATGTTTACATCACTGACACAGGACACGTGCGAATTTCATACATGTATGCGAGGGTGTCTGTGAGTGGACACGAGCACACTGATGTTTTCTCCACCCAGACACCTTTAGTGTCATTAGAGAGTTGTGCTGATATAATCTGTGAAGTTTCAGGCCGGCGGTTTCAGGAGGAAATTGCAGCGGCGGGGTGATGTTAGAGTTTAGACTGCAGAGCAGCAGGGAACCAACAAACTGATAATGCTGGCCATTGGGACAGATCAGCATCAGTACTGTGTAAACAGCCACACACGTTTACACACACGCACAAACACACACTGTTGAACCTCAGGGTTACAATGAACTGGCAGAAGATCCTGGACAGCTTAGCAGAAAGCAAATCACTGGAGAGAGTGGAGTGCGGATGAGCAGAGGAAAACATGCCGTACTTACTTGTGTAAGAGCACACAGACTGACACACTCATGGAAAAATACAGGATCAGCACAAATCATGGGTCCAACTTTCTCCTTTCCTAGAAAAGCTTAACCAGACACCAAAATTTAAGTACTGGATTTTTAATATTTGCCCAAAGAACTTTTTATGTATAATCAAAAATCACATATTACCAACTTTTCATGATTTTGGAAAAAGGTCCTGTTAATGGGTTTTCAGATAATTTATTGGGTTTTTTTAATGGCTTTGCCCAAAGAAGTAGAAGAATATTTAATCCTTGATTCAAAACCACAGCCATTGCTTTCACTGGACAGTGATTTATCCATGTATTTATTGGCTTAAAATTAGTCAAAATTTAATAGATTTAATAAAAACATTATTGGAACCAGTGTGTAAAGCAGAATGTAAACTCCTCTAGGTTCCTATACTGTAAGATTTACAGAAAAATACCAAGGCAGGATCACACTGTCCTTTCATAGACTTTAAATCCACACCAATTACAAAGAGATAAAGAATCAGGAGATTTAATTAATTCTTAATCTTTGAGATTACTAAAATGTGAAATGTGTAAAAAGGCTGTAACGTATATCTGAAAGATGTCCCTGAATTTTTGTACACTGCAGGAGTTTTAGGCCAACATCCGCCTGAATAGGAAGCAACTGTTAATTTTAAGTTTGGCTTTGGAGGGATTTTTAAATAGAAGTTAAATAGAAGCTGTAAAGAAATCCAAGGTTAGATCTCTACCTCAAAAATAGGCTAAGTGTTCTCTTGTTCTTTACTATGTTGACTCAGTCACTGGAATCAGACCTATGAAAAACTAGGGGTGGGTTGTTGAGGTCACTTCATAAGAACTAAAATAAATTTGTGGATTAAAGATGATCTAACAGACACAAACAAACTCAGAGGCAAATCTTCGCATGTTGTACACACTTGCATGGTCTTTTGACACACACACAGCATCATAGCATAGCCATACCGTCGGCTACACAATACACTCCACTGACTATCGCTCTGATCTCCTGAGAAACCAGAGAGGGTCACCATGCAAAGATGTAAATAAGTGTTTGTGTCTGCTCATAAATGCAAAGTGTGTGTTTTTGTGTTATGGAGGAGGAAGGCAGAAGCCCATTAATAGACCCATAAATGAGAACGGTACAGACAGACAGAGCCATGCTTCATTCTCTATGTGTCTACTGTAACTGGGAACTGTAGAGTCCGCAGGGAACAAACCTCTCATGTAGGAGGGCATGCAGATAAAAACAGCACCATCACACACTCTCTCAGTTATAACAGATCAAAACCAAAGAGCAGCTTTGCTTTGAATAACTCTAAGCTCTGAGGCTAGTTCATGTGGTGATGCAGGCAGCTACAAAGGGCCATGGTTTGGGGGGAGTAGGGTGAGAAGTGGCAGGAGCCTGGCCTGAAGGACTGGACAGAAACTTGGTGAAGTTTAGGAAACTGCCGTGGAATGAGAGAATGAGTAGGTTGCACAGGAGCAACAGTTTGACAAAGAGTAGGAGGTTGCTGAGAATAATAAGTTTGCAAAAGCTGCAAAAGTGCAAGTATCAGCCCTGTTTTGAAGAAATTGTGGCAGAAGCCTAAAAGGTTTTTTCTTTTTTTTCTTTTTTCAAGGTGTCCTTTGGGTGTTTGTTGAATAAAAGATTTGATAAAAGAAAGTTCTTTTTTTCTGTGCATCAAAACAACAGAAGCACTTTGGGTTTCTGTTATTTTGATTTAGTCACTGGAGTCAGTTATTTAAAAGCTGAATTTACAGCTGCACTATATCTAAATACCGTGTACGTGGGAGGATAAGTGGCCTGTAAGAGTCATGTATTTTTGTTGAGACCTATTTCATCTTCACAGGAAGTGACAGGTGTCCTGCCTTGAAAAAAAGGAAAAAAAAGCTTAAACTTGATTTAAAAAATAATAATAAAAAAAAAAAAGTTAACATAAAGGACATATTTTATGTAGCTGCGTGCAGCAAGTTGGAAGGAGCAGGCAGAGAGCAGGGTGGACCCTTCTCCTCCATCTGTGTTCTTCTACTTTATGTTTACCTTTATAACCCAGAGCTGTCTGTAGCAGTTTTGTGTTGACGCTGAGCACAAAAGGCACCCTAATCCTGGGCTGAGTATGCATGACGCGCCGTGCAGTGCTGTGCAGTGCTGCGCAGTGGCTGCTCGCAGTTTAATAGTTTCAGCACCGCGTTGGTGAACAGCGCCATACGCCGCTGAGACAGACTGAGGCTCAGCTGCAGCTGGTTCCGAGTTGCTCTATTGACGGAACACGGCGCAGTTTGACAGGCCGAGCCGGAGAAAGAGCCCTTTATCTGTAGTAATCAAATCATCAACTGAGTGAGGCTTCCTTCCCCCTGATGATATCGAGACCTCGTAGAAGCATGTAAAAGCATGGCGCTTTTACTTTGATGCCCTCAAAAGGAAAAGGAGAAGGAGAGGGAGAGGGGTGAAGAATGGGGACACAAGGGAGAGAGAGAGAGAGAGAGAGAGAGAGAGAACAAGAGCATGAGAGCAAGCGACTGATGCAAACATATTGTCGGTGGCTCATTTGCAGACATCTTTAAGTCATACACGCACCTTACAAATAAAGTTTATCCCATTCCCTTCTAGAGGAAGACGCTGAAATTCTGAGTTACTCAAGCACAGCGTGGACAGCAGTCACCCCACCCCCCACCCCCCTATCCCAGACCCACACACACAGACACGGGCTGCATATTATAGGCAACAGCACAGACAGGAATCCGGTCCGGTGCAGCCCCCGAGAAGAGAGGCAGACAGAGAGAGAGAGAGAGAGAGAAAGAGAGAGAGAGAGAGAGAGAGAGAGTGTTTCCTTCTTGAGAAATAATCTGAATCACTTCAGCCTGCCTGCGCTGGAACCTGATAATAACTACAGGACTGCTCCGGATGGATTTATCGTCTCTCCCACCTCGCACAGCGGAATTTCTTTCACAAGACGGGCGATTTTTAAACCCGGTGCTGATCAATAGAGAGCAGAGAAGAAGAAAAAGAGGGTCAGATGTTTTCCCCTTCTTTCCTCCTCGACGTGCTTGAAGCGGAGGCGCACCTGCGAGAGTGTCTGCTCCCTTTATCTTTACTGAGAGCCCCAGTTGGGCTGCTGCTGCTGCTGCTGCTGCTTGGCTGAGGCTACATACACTTTACAGACTGGACCAGTGGACTGAGAAAAAGACAGAAAAAGAGAGAGACAGAGGCGGGGTGGGCGCGAGAGAGAGAGAGAGAGAGAGTGTGTGTGTGTGTGTGTGTGTGTGTGTGTGTGTGTGTGTGTGTGTGTGTGTGTGTGTGTGTGTGTGTGTGTGTGTGAAGCAGGGACTGGATGGATTCCTCTCTTCCTCTGGCACTCCACAGGCGCTCATTCATTTATTTAAGCCCGACCGACGACAGCATGCCAAGCGCAGACTCCAGCGGCAGAGCTCGGTCAGTATAACATCCCCGTCTCTCAGTCTGTCACTGTTTCTTTCTGTTTGTTGTTCTCTCTCTCTCTCTCTCTCTCTCTCTTTCCCTCTCTCTCTCTCTCTCTCTCTCTCACACACACAACACACCACATGGACAGGTAAAGTCTTATCCCTCAGAGCCATCCTCATCTTGTCTCCCTTCATATGCAGAAACAGACTTCCTAAGAGAGGACAGGAGTGAGACGTCCTCCCACGCACCGTGCGTTCTCACCTGCACAACATCCCTATACTTTGGCGTCCTGTCGACGACCAGGACCCGACTCTGAGGAAAGCCGCTTTCATGGGCCCCAAACCTCGTGAGGGCCCCGGGATGACGTGCAGCGCGTGTTACTACCTGGTTATCAGCTCCACACACCTGAGCAATGGACACTTTCGGCGCGTCAAGGGGGTCTTCAGAGGACCGCTGTGCCCAACTGCAACCAGTGATTCACCGGTAGGAGAACATGTGGGTTTTGATAGATTTCCCTAGGTGTGTTTGTGTGTGTGTGTGTGTGTGTGTGTGTGTGTGTGTGTGTGTGTGTGTGTGTGTGTGTGTGTGTGTGTGTGTGTGTGTGTGTGAGAGAGAGATGAAGAGAGAGAGATGAGGACAGAGTAGTGTGTTTGTGGTTTTGTTCTTGGAATACCTGCTTTTTAGTCCTGGAGCTTGTAAAAGAGTCTGTTTTAACCAAGTGAGATTATCTTTTTTTCCCCCACTTTTTCGTGGGCCAAGTTCATGATAAGGGTCAAAGTTAGGGTATTTGTGTTATCATAGGAAGTTCTCACGATTGAAAAGTGTGTTTGTCTGTGTGTGCAAGATAGATAAGAAAACAAGACCCAGAGTCACTGTCATACTGAGAGGAGGTGGATGACAGAGGTGGATATTTTTGCAAGGGATGATCATTTCTTTTCTTGAAGCATAAAATACATTTTTTTTTTTTGGTAGCGGACAGTATATGTGAATGTGAATATTTTGAACAGAGGAGAAACTGGGAATCCAACCATGAAGCCATCGTCTCTCCATGCCTCCTTCTCTCTCGCTCATGGCTGTGGGAATTAAACGAATCAAATTACATTAGCGCTTTCAGGAGGAGATGAGTTGCCCAGCTGAAAATAACACTAATTACCTGGGGAGTATTTGTTAGGTGTGTGTTGGTCTGTGTGTGTGTGTGTGTGTGTGTGTGTGTGTGTGTGACCTGCCCAGCCCGGTAGGGTAACTCCCTGACCTTTTCCTGGTGCCCGTGGTTCCTTTGAGCCACCAGACTGGCATTTAGTTGCAAACTGTCTCTCAGTCTGTGTGCACTTACTGTGGAGTATTTGTGTGTGTGTTTGTACACTTGCAGAGACAAAGAAAGAGTGTGTGAAAGAAAGGAAGAGAGAGAGAAGGGGGGAGGGAGAGAGAGAGGGAGAGAAGGCGGATAGAAAGGTAAGGGAAATGAAAGTACATGTAAATATGTACATGATATTTTGGACTGTGTGAATGGGGGTGCATGAGCTGCTCGAAGAGTCTGTGGTAATCACACATTATTCATGAGCTCTTAATGTGAGACGAGACAAACTGGCGGAGCTGATGACAAGTTTGATGAGAAAGGAGGAAAGGAGCAGCTGGTATGTGTGTATGCATGTGTCTGTGTGAGTGTGTGTGTGTGTGTGTGTGTATGTGAGCGTGTGTGTGTGTTCATACTCAAGTCATTACCAGTCTGTCATGTTCGGCCCGCGCTCACTATGTGATGGGAATGAGCGAATAGTGTAGAGCAGACACAGTCACAGTGCCAGAGATGCTTGAAAGAGTAATGCACTTGCAAACTTTTGCACACACACACACACACACACACACACACACACACACACACACACACACAAATTATTTCGAGATGCTGAAAGACTACCAAAGGAGATAATTACTGTACACACTCTACATATACAGTGCAAATCTCTCAGTTCTTAAAAAAAATTAGGGCTTCCCTTTTAAATTTGAATTGATTGAATCATCTGTCTCCGATGAGCCCATTCATCTCCTTGTAGAATCATGAAACGCTCATTTTTTTTTTTTTACTGCCCCTGCAACAAGTTTGGTCTTGTCTAAGAGAAGAGTTTAGCTTCTCAGAGATGTTCTTCTTTTTAACAAGCTGCTAGCAATTTGGCATAATTTATTGCAATAAAAAAAAAAGGTTTGAAACATATTTGTATTCCCCAAAGTCAGCTGTCTAAAAAAGTCATTTTTGGTATCAGTCCCAAAACTCAGGTATGGCTTCAAATGGTAATGGTCAAATGGCGCTTGGCTTGTACAGTTCCTAGAACGGCTGTTCAGAGCTGAGACTGCTCTTTCTTGTTGATGCGCTCAAGTGCTTGTGATATGTTCTAATAGTGCATTCACTAATCTAGATCCAAGTCATCTCAAATAGTTTTGCAGACTTGCCATAGTAGAAAAAAGGCAGATGTTTCTGATAACATGAATGATGGTTCTGTTCTGTCCAGTGAGTCTTGACAGGGCGACAGTGAGCCAATAGCAGGACCCTGAAACTGTAGCAGCGAAATGGAATTTAGCCATTGTTCATTTTATTAATGACGACTCTGAAAAAGGCTTATGATTAAATAGTTGAAATATCATACTGAACAGTAAAATCAGGTGAAACACTGAAAGTTAGGAGTCTGTAGAGCCCTACCACAAATCTAAAACTTTATACATATCCCCTAAAAGTAGAAATAGAATCAAAGAAAACCATTCAAGCAAACAGCATCAGCAGCAGTGACTCAGAACGTCATTCAACAGGAATATGTAGACTTCCTCCAGCTAAAGACTTGAAACCATGCAGGCTTCAGGGTCTTACAGGCTCAACTGTGGCTGGTCTACATGTGAACAGAGAAAGTAAAAATAGCAGCTGAATACGTATCATTCTCTCCGAGCTGCATACTGTTAGTAAACTGTGTCATTCATGGAAGGAAGGACATTTTCTACCACCAAGGCCAAACTAATGCAGATAAAGCTACATGTGGAAAGTTTTCAGTGATGGAAAATGCTGGCTAAGTGAGTATTGAGGGTCAAAAAAAAAAAAAAAAGATGCTTTCAGATTTATCCATATTAGTTTCGACATGGGCCAATTTATGGGCCTGTCAGCGTGATAAACAGGCTGCACTAGTGGCCAAGCAGTTCAAAAGTGACCTCTTGTGTTAGGTGAAACTTCAGCCAGGAGCGAGTGAGTGAGTTTAACACACCTCTTCAAGACTGTTCGACATGCTGAGCAGCATCTTTTACACCTGTCCATCCCATTGTGGAGGATGCCGTGCCAACCGGCACAACAGCTACAGTATCTGCTCTTTGATTTAGCTTAGATCAGTGGAGTACAAAGGATTTTACAACTGGGATTTGTCAGGGGTAACTTCTTGTGTCTTCACTTTGATAAGGAATTGCAGCATTAAGACAACACTGGGAGCCTGTGAGTGGTAAGGCACAGCCCTCTCGACACCCCACCTCTTCTTCCTCCACAACAAATCCTCTCGTGTTTGTTAAGACTTCTCTGTTTTGTTGTTTAGTTAGCTTCCCTGTGGAGTGCTGCGGTATGTCTAGATTAGGATTTTGCTCATTACTACTTTATCACCACTAATTAGTCTTTGTGATAGGTTTCTTGGACGTGTTTAAATTTTGGTTCCCGTATGTATATTAGAGCTTAATCATCACTGGTGAGTCATTCTTCAAACTCTCATTAACACTTCAAAGGTTTTCTGTTCTTGGTGTCAGCGTAGAGGGAGGACAGGAGGAGAGACGTAGCAACAGAGAGGTGTGTGTGGACAGGCACAGCTTTAATGCATCTCCCAATTCAGACAGCTCCAAACTGATACACTTTCAATTTCTTTTCCTGCCTCTTGTCCGAAAATCCTCCAATCCCTTTCCCGCCGTCTCCAAGTGTCCTTTTAGAAACCTTCTCTCTCTAGAATATTATAGCTTGTATAGCTTGTGTGTGTGTGTGCGTACTTAGCTGCTCATCCACTGAAGACCACTTTGATGCATATTTCACTGCCGTTGCAGAAAACAGATGAATCCTTGGCTGTACAGCACAGTGTCAAAGTGAGTGCGTCGGCATGTGTGAGTGTGTATGTGGATGTGACTCTGCGCTTGCACCCTCGTGTTTTCATTGATTCCGCAGGGAGCTGAGCAGTGTTTATGTAAATGAGGTGGCATTTAAACATATGCCCTGAACAATTATCTTGAAACAACTATTAAGCTGCACAAAAACACGGCCATGTTCAGAGTGAGTCAAGTACTTAGCTACAAATATTAAGCCATCATGAGGGGACAGAGGTGAGATGAGCCAACTGGCTTGCCATTTGGCGTGCCAGTTTGCTCATGGGCGTAAACACGATACCCAGGAATCTTTGTGCACTTTTAATGAGGATCATAATAATAACTGATACCATCTTAGTATCAAAGAACACCCAGGGGACGATCAAGCTGGTAATGGCATCTTGACATTTATGAAGTTCAACAAATGTCAGAAAGAAAGTGATTAGTTAAATGTGAGTTTGAGATAAAAAGGTGTTTGCAATACAAACTTAAAAGCAGCTATGGCGTCGTTGAGTTTTGTGTCGCCAGAAAAGCTACTTCAGAGTCGAGGCCCATAATACTGCAGTCACTCACATTGGTAAAGTCTAATGTTAATTCACACAAACACACACACACACATCGAGCTCAGCCATCAGGCCCTAGTGGAGCTGTTTGAGAGTGAGCAGGTGAGTGCTGCTGAATACTAAAGTCCTATATGACTGGACCATTCCTGCTGACCGCTGCAAAGTGCTCCCACTGATCACCGCTAATGTCCTCCATCACGGTTTACACTCAACACTCCGGAGAGATTGTGTGCGCGAGTGTGTGTTGGGGAGAAAGGTGGATAATTGGGACAGATGGGTGAGATAGGATGAAGAGAAAGAGGAGGGAGAGGGGGAGAGCGAGACAGTTGGCATCGATTTTAACACTCTCTCAAGCCTTTATTGACATTTCATTTAGCTAATGAATTCATTAGTGCTTCATAGCATAATAACCTCTACTTGATAACCCGGGTGGTTCCATGGAGGTAATGTGCCATCTTTCCTCTGCTGCCTCGCTATTTTCTGACTCATTCTCAGCTTTTTTGTGGTTTCTTCTCTTTCTGTTACCCAGCAAGTTTCCTCTCTGTGTCTTTGTGCTGCTTTGTGTAACTTGTAAATGAAACCGTTGGTTGAGGTGACATAACCTGCCAGTCTCTCAACAACAGCGCAGCACACCCTCAGGAATGACAGAGAAGAAGAGGGAGGCGCAAGATGTACAAGCGCATTTCTCTACCTATGTATAGGCATCTTTGTGCTTCTGCTAGAGTGTGCTCGCTGGCTTTGTGATGCTTGTTCACCTCTGAGATGGAAATGATCTTTATTCAATTTGCTCACGACTGATTCATTCTTTATTTGTGTCTCT